TGCCGCCCGGTGTTGTCAGTGTTCCGGTGTTGCTGGCACCATTGCGTCACTGAGTTGTGACAATCGGTATCGGCGCCAGTAACTCAGCTCTCGGTATCAGCGCAATGGCGCGGCGCCGCACTGTGTTACCCACGGCTACTCACTAGAACAAAATATGTATTACCATATCACTACAATGCTAAAAACCGTAACTAAAAATTATTTTTGCATGAAACGATGTGGGGACTTGCAACTCTGCGAGTTTTTGGTTTTTTGAGTTATAACAGTATTGTAGTAATGCTCACTTACACGACATTCATATTAGATATCCAAGATAATTTTGAAACGGTCACAATAATGTTTATTGGTTCATTTTTAAACATCTTTCAATGTGATTGAACGAACGAAAGTTGTTACGTAATTTTTTTTTTTAATTTTTTTACGTATTCACGATACTTTCTCAGTACTTGTCAAAAAGTATCGCGTTATCGATACTACTCAGATCTCATGAAATGTATCGATATTCTGTACAAAAAGCCAAAAGTACATGCATGTGCGCTTACGAGCATTAGAACTTGTTTACCCCCACTTGAGGTTGTAAAACCATAAAAAAATAAAAATAGTAGAGAAGGACACTGCAACAAATGCTAGTGGCAAGTAGTCAGTTGCAACTGCAAGTAGTACATCAATTCCAATGACTGGCCATTGACTTTGACGTTTTTGGGGGGAAAGGCGCCAATGCAAGCGGAATAAATGCGCTGCTGAATGAAGTTGTACGCAATTTGAAAAGCAGTGTAATACCCTTATTTTAACCATTAGTGGGGCAAACGAGTGAATGGCTGGCGTAATTACGTCGAGAGGAACCAGAAATATAATCGTTTAGAAAAATAAATGCTGCTGTAGAAACAGAACGTACTTTCATTAGCATTCTATTTAATTCTAGAGTACTAACCATATTTTACACACGTTAATACTAATGATCGTTGATTCGACGAAGTCTTCTTTAAACCCAGTTGCTCTAAAAAGTTAACTAAATGTTATACGTGTGATTAAACTTATAAATTTTCTTATTTGAACTTAATAATTTAGCGACTTGGAATGAGGCGTTAGTGAAAAATCACTATATCCATCGAAAAACAGAAACCAGAAATTGATGAAAATTAACATAAAAGTGTAAAAATTTGTTGGTACTGGTTATTTTATTTGCATTAAAATAATTTTTTTAATTTTGTATTACCTACTGGAAGTTGAGCGCATGTTGTGTTTATAGTAATTTTTATTAAGCAAGTAATTTTTAAACAATAAACACATCCGACTTCAATTATCATATACAAACTTAAGAGTACCGTTAATTCGTGATCCAATGATCGGATCTAAACCATCTCGGAGACGCTACCTTTCTGACAGAAACACAATTATCAATTATCAATTATAAATTATATTTTCAGAAAAACAATGTGACAAAAAATCTGTAACCGGCTGACTAAGTGAGGAAAGCGGGGTTGCTGGTGGAGAAGACAACAAGACTATGCGATACAATTAAATGACCGAATTAGGTAGATGGGACAACAACAATTACATGGGCAACCTCACCAACTCTTAATATGTATGTAACGAACTAACGTAGAAATATCACTCGTAGGGCGACCAAGAGCATTCAAAAGACAAAACAAACGATACTAAGCAAAAAAAATGCAAAACACAAAACCTTGTTTGTTCGTGCACCTGAATTTACGAACCCACTCGCAATACCCGGGGGTAACATTCACCCGCCAAGTGGCTGGGCTCTGGGTGAAGGATGCTAAAAGGAAGGACCTGGGATACAATATGGTGGAATCTACCGACAACGCTACATACCAAATACAGGTGACAACACAAGGGATACTTAAGCTATTGTCGGGGCGTGCGTCGACAAATGGATGCTCCCGCGGGCTTGCGCCGCCCAAATCCGGTCCCGACACTGCCAGCCATTTGATTTACCGTCTCGACTGACGCCACTTCTCGTTTTGCCTGCTCACCTTTAGCCTAAGTGCTCTCCTGGCACTTATACAAAACTATGAACACACCAAAATACCACGTCTGGTATAGCGCCACTAAAATTTTCGTATTTTTTTAATACCGCACAAATTCGCTCACAATAGGGATGTTTCCCTATTCAATGCTCACTAGGTTTTGCCCGGGCGCGTCAGCTCCACGCCGGTCCGCAAAACCATTGGGCCTCAATGCCGGTGTTGTTGGTGCCCCATCAATTGGCGCCGGCCCATTAATACTAAAAGAGAATTAGATGCTTTGGTGGTCGTCACCACGGCGCACACATACAAGATCCATGTAGTTTGCCATTTCCATCATTCGACGGACAACAAAAGTGCCGCGATAATAAAAAAAGGCGACGCCCCTTATGGGGTTTTTTCACATAATCTCTTTCTCTTATCTGTTGAAGACCATTTCCCCAATGTGTTAGCACACCAACGAAAATCAGCAACATTGCTCTTCAAGCTAAGCTTTAATTAATAGGCCTAGTTGCCGGTAGAGTTCGGTCCTATCGGTTCGAGNATTCGACGGACAACAAAAGTGCCGCGATAATAAAAAAAGGCGACGCCCCTATTGGGGTTTTTTCACATAATCTCTTTCTCTTATCTGTTGAAGACCATTTCCCCAATGTGTTAGCACACCAACGAAAATCAGCAACTTTGCTCTTCAAGCTGAGCTTTAATTAACAGAGCTAGTTGCCGGTACAGTTCGCTCCTATTGGTTGGAATGAATAAGGATGAAACGAAGGAATATATCAAATAAAGTTGCGGCGAGTACGCGACAAAATTTTATTCTTATATTCATGCTCTTATGTCTTTTAGATACATCTCTAGCTAAAACAAATTACAGTGCACAACACCAACTTCTATAAGTTCCAACCCATTACGAACTCACTTCTCGTTAAATATTTAAATAATTTCACCGACTCATCTCTAAATGATTGTTGTAACTTAAATCTCAATAGCAATTAATACGAGTGCGATGCAAATCAAAGCACTTTCGTTATGGTCGTTTTAACGAACATACATAAGTTTTAATCACTACCACACAGAGCATTTATCTGCAACCGGAATCAGTGTAATTAAATTATGAAGGTCCTATATTATACGTTNGTTTTAGCGAACATACATAAGTTTTAATCACTACCACACAGAGCATTTATCTGCAACCGGAATCAGTGTAATTAAATTATGAAGGTCCTATATTATACGTTGGCAAAGTGAAACAAAAGCGGCTGGCGGCACACCGCGGAAGTTAGTCGAAAGTGTTTGTGTTGAAATTGCGCTTACAAACGCGACTTTTAATTTTTATCCGACTCTTTATTGAGTTTGCATTTTTGCTGCGTATCGGATTGCGCACACGAAAAACTACGTCCGATAGCAATGGCGGCGGCATCAGCAGCGCTAGGGAGGAAAACAATACCGAATCAAAACTTTTCGCATATAAAAATGTGCAGCGGCTTCAAAAGTTTTTCATTAGTGCTGAATTTTTCGCTGGTCGGCAAACAGGTAAAAACGCTTTGTGTAACGTAAAACGATTCGAGTGGAGGCAGCAAACGCAGCCACTTTTTTGCTGNGTGTAACGTAAAACGATTCGAGTGGAGGCAGCAAACGCAGCCACTTTTTTTTGCTTAATTTCGCACAAAAGTCAAAACGTACCTTTTTGCTGTTCAACCGGCTGAGGATGTATCAATTTGAAGTGAATCGTAAAAAAGCCATTGCAAAGGAGGCGACGCACAGCAACGGCCTCAGAATGGCATTACCTATTCCAGCTTGGTTGATGCTACTGACTGCTGTAATGCTATTTTTTTCGTCATTAGGAGGAGTGAATGCGGTAAGTGTGAAAAAAACAATCACGAAAAAAGCCTTTGTATCAAAAATTTCGGTGCCAGTAATTGTTCAAACATTTTTGTTAACGAATCCTCAAATGCCGACACTTGTTGATCGATCTATGTACAGACACCTGCTGCATCTACTAAGAGCTTTATGGAGGCTTGTCTAGAGCGGAACAATATCACCCACGAGGAATTGGATCAGTTTCCCGATGACCCAAGCCCCGAAGACGTTGAACAGAAGTTCAAATGCTATGCAAATTGTCTGCTGGATGGGATGGGCATTTTGGATGAAAATGGAAAAATCATGGCGGATTCTATGCACGAATGGGGTATATTGAGTGATGAAAGTTATGAGAACATGATAGAATGCAAAGCGGCAAATGACATGGAGGATGATCCGTGCGAGTATAGTTTTGGAATTGTTATCTGTGCGCGCTGGAGGATGATCCGTGCGAGTATAGTTTTGGAATTGTTATCTGTGCGCGAGTTAATATTGAACATCACAGTGATGAGATCGAGCCGATCGAAGAAGAGCGCCGGAAGTGAATAACAAAATTAAANATTATTAGAAAAATTAAAAAGAAAAATGTTTTTATAAATATATTTTCCTCTTTAGAATTTTTAAAATTAACGAAGAACTCGAATACTTTAGTTTGGGCGATTCGATTAAACTGTCTAATGTATGTTGAATATTTCTGGCTGTTCCTAGCTGGAAAGCGATATAATAAATATAAATAATTAATGATTATGTATGTATGTATATATATTAAAATACATGACTCTTTCTCTCTTTCTTCATTTCTTCATCATTTGCAGAACCTACTGTGGAGAGCTTCCTGCCCTTCTGTGTGCCCTTCAGTAGCGATAAGTCCCATTACACAGGTTTACAAATAATTAACGATTTATTTACCCAAGAATTATACCATCAAAATTCCATGTAAAATCGGTGGCTTCCTCCGGAAAACTACATATGTTTTCTGTCATGTCTATTTCAGACCACATCGCCACATAACGGGTTTCGATTAAGAAAAAGGTCGATCATATAAATTTCTAATATTTAGAAGATCAGTTAGCCGATAAAGGGTACTAGTATTTCAAATAAAAAGTAATTCAATTTTTTAACATCTGTTCATAACGCATTTTAAGCTGTGCTATGAATCCCCGTTGATTCATATGAGGTGCGATGAAAAAGACGATCGAAGGCGGCGTAAAACTTTAGGTACCTCCGTTTGTGTAACAACATCAAGAAGCACACCACAATGAATAAGTACCAGCAACAAGGGCTAACGGGGTGTGCATAGCTCAGTGGGTAGCAGTTCTGCCCTGCTTAAAGTCTAGAGAAAAGAGAAGTCTGATGATGAGATGTGGTGATCTCCGAAATACTAACTGCTATAACTTCTACCGCTTAATCTTTGCTGTTTTTTTCATTTTTCCTAACAAACAAATCGTGCTTAAAAGCTCAATAACACTTTTTAATTAAATACTAATACGCCAAAATAAAAATTCACAGAAACTTTTTCATTTTAAGTAGAACCTATTGGTCTATTGTACTTATTTCCTTGTAAATATGACTTCTGCGAGTTGCCGTATTAACGAATCTGTCCCACAATAATTCTGCCAGTTCACATCAGTCAATATTGTGTATATCATACAAGCGGTATTAGCTTGGAGCAACTACGTTATCTCCATGGGCATAGAAAAAAGGTTGCAGTTAT